ACCGCCTGGTGGTATCTCTAGTGAAGCTCAGTCTAAGCCCCAGTCTGCTTGTTCGCCAGAGCCCCTGATGGTGGGGATGGACTTGGAGCAGAACTGAGACCAGGTCGCGACCCCTGGGTACGCCCAACTGAGGTAGAGAGGACCACCGAAGGTATGTACAGGTGGAGAGCCTGACGTGAAGAGGCTAGCAGGCCCTGGACTGTGGCAACTGGATCCAAGCGGAATGGATGGATAGATGCCAATGCAGAGTATAGCGGAGTCAGACAGGCCAGGTCAATAACAGCAAGGCAGATGGTACAAGGCAGTAGGCAGAGAGTAACTGGGTCACGAGCAAAAGGTTCAGCAACAGGAGGTCAAATAATTCAGGAGCAGGCAAAAGAGTAGTCAGGGATGAGCCAGGGATCAGGGCAGGAGACGGTCAACGGATCAGGGTCAGGCAGGGTCGGCAACTAGTAATCACTCAAGAACTCAGGACACAGGAACAGCAGGAAAGACCATACGGCAATTTGTGAATTGCCAAAGCCTGTTTAAATAGTGCATCCTGTGCACTCATTGGTGCCAGGCGCGCCCGTAGGCGCGTGTGCGCATGTGCGGCCACCATTGCCGCAGTGATCGCCCAGGTCCTAGTATCCGCATGCTAGTGCGCCTAGACAGACCGCACATGCGCAAACTCGTGCGCCGCGGTAACCCTCGGGATTCCTGACATTGCCCCCCCCTTACGGGCAGCCTGCGGATGTCCAACTGACCTCTCGTTTGGGGCTGGTTGAGAAGGAATTCCCGAATTAACCTAGTAGCATGAACATTTGGAGCAGGCTCCCATGAATTCTCCTTCGGCCCATAGCCTTTCCATTTGATGAGGTATTGCATCTGACCACCCCTCCTTCTACAGTCAATAATCGCTTCTACCTCGATTTCCTCTTCCCCATCAATATCTATGGCCTCCGGGGGTCTAGATCTATGATCTGAGAAGGGATTCGGTGCTGCAGGTTTCAGCAAAGACACATGAAAGACGGGGCGAATCCTAAAAGATTTGGGGAGCGCCAGCTTATAAGCCCCCTCATTGATCCTACGCTCAATGGGCCCACGAATCTGGGTGCCAATTTTCTTGACGGGCATGCCAGTTTCAGATTGGTTGTTGCCAACCAAACTTGGTCCCCTGGTGCACTACCAGTTCCCCTCTTCTTTTCTTATCAAAAGTCCTCTTGCTATCCTCTTGGGCTCTTGCCATTGTCTCCTGTAACAATTTGTTATTGGACGTGAAGAAATTTAGGGTCTCTTGAACCACTGGGACTGAGTTTTCCGGAACCAGATCAGGCAGGAAAGTGGGATGGAACCCATAGTTGGCGAAGAACGGGGACTGCTTAGTGGCCGAATGGCACGCGTTATACACAAATTCTGCTAGGGGTAGGAGTGCCAACCAGTCATCCTGGAGGAACGAGCTATAACACCTCAGGTATTGTTCCAGCATTTGGTTAGTTCGCTCAGTCTGTCCATTCGTTTGCGGATGATATGTTGAGGAGAATGACAGTTTGATTCCCAAACCTTCGCACAAGGCCTTCCAAAATTTGGAAGTGAACTGGACTCCCCGATCTGAAACGATATTCAATCGGTACTCATGGAATCTCACTATTTCCTTAATGAATACTTGTGCTGTTTCAGGGACCGACGGTGTACCTTCCAATGGGAGAAAATGAGCCATCTTAGAGAGACGGTCCACCACTACAAAATCGCAGTATGATTCTGCGATGGTGGTAATTCTACAATAAAATCGATAGAAATCATGCTCCAGGGTCTATCAGGTACCGGCAAGGGTCGCAACAGGCCCCAAGCCTTTGTCCCTGTTGGGCTTGTTTCGGTTGCAGATGACACAGGTCTTAACGTACAACTCGCAGTCTTTGGCCATATTTGGCCACCAAAATGTACGTCGTACTAACTCTAGAGGCTTATGTGTTCCAAAATGGCCTGCCAATGAGTGGTTATGGCAATAGCCCAAGACCAGGGTCTGAGCTTCCTTGGGTACCAGGATCTGCTCCCCCCTCCACAAGAGACCCTCTATGCTCTGTATAGAGACTCCAGGTAGGTTGGGGGCCCTTGTGGATGCAGCCTGTAACCTAGACAGGAGTTCAGACTGTAACAATAAGAAACTACCTGCCGGCAAGATGGTATCTGGCTTGGGCGTTTCTTCTGGGTATTCGAACATCCGGGAAAGAGCGTCAGGCTTGGTATTTTTAGACCCAGGTCGGTATGTTATATGCAGGGTGAATCTTGAAAAAAATAACTCCCATCTGGCCTGACGCGGTCTGAGGCGCTTAGCTGTCCTCAGGTACTCCAAGTTTTTATGTTCGGTGTAGACCAGAATGGGATGTGAGGCTCCCTCCAACAAGTACCTCCATTCCTCTAATGCAGTTTTGATTGCCAATAACTCCCGATCCCCGATGTCATAATTCCGTTCAGATGGGGTAAGCTTCCTAGAAAAGAAAGCCACCGGGTGCATAAGTTCCTTTACCCCTACCTTTTGAGACAATAATGCACCCACTTCGTTTTCTGATGCATCAACCTCTAAAACGTAAGGCAGTGAAGCATCGGGATGACTTAAGATAGGGGCTGCTGTGAACAGCTTCTTCAAGGACTCAAAGGTGGCCTGTGCCTCTGGGGTCTACTGAAAGCGCACCCCTGTCTTCGTAAGCTGGGCGATGGGAACTACCAGGCCCGAGAAATTTTTGATAAATTTCCTGTAGAAATTGGCGAAGCCAATAAATCGCTGCACCCCTTTCTTATCCGTGGGGACCGGCCATTCTAAGATCGCAGAGATCTTCTGGTGATCCATCGCAATTCCAGTGGTGGAAATGATCAGCCCCAGGAATGGAATACTGTGTTGCTCGAAGCTACACTTCTCGGCTTTGTCATACAGCCCGTGCTGGCGAAGGCGCTCTAGTACGCTCCGGTCGTGATCTCAATGCATCTCCAGAGAGGAGGAAAAAATCTAAATATTGTCTAAGTACACGATTACAAAGATATCCAAGAAAGATATCACAAAGTGCTGAAACGTGGCCGGTACGTTACATAATCCGAATGGCATTACCAAGTATTCAAAGTGTCCGAATCGAGTGTGGAACACGGTTTTCCACTCATCCCCTTCGCGTATGCGGACCCGATTGTAAGCCCCCCTAAGGTCTAGCTTGGTAAAGACATATGCTGACTTTAACTTCTGAAACAATTCAGGAACTAAGGGATAGCGGTTCTTAACCGTAATTTTATTCAAATCCCTATAATCAACACAGGGCCTCAGGGACTGGTCCTTTTTCTCTACAAAAAAGATTCCGGCCCCAGCTGGAGATGTGGACGAACGGATAAACCCCTTCTGAAGGCTTTCATCAATATACTCCTTCAAAGCCCCCAACTCTCTCTCTGACAGGGGAAAGATTTGACCAAAAGGAAACTCAGATCCAGGAAGAAGGTCAATAGGACAGTCATAAGCCTGGTGCGGAGGGAGCATATCTGCTCCTCCTGGACTGAAAACGTCAAGGTAATGATGATACACACTGGGAACAGTTTGAGCTAGCTCACTGTCAACATTCACACATTCACACAGAATTGGAGTGTCTAGTGGTGACCTCAAGAAGCAATGCTCCTGACAGTAGGGTGACTTGAACTGGACAGACCCGGTTCTCCAGTCAATTTGGGGATCGTGTGCTCGTAGCCCCAAAATTACTGGAAATAAAGGGGATGCAATGGTGTCTAAGCGGAGAAGCTCTTGATGATAACCGGCCACTGTGGTGCATATGGGGGGGTCTCCCGATCTACCAACCCAGACTTAATTCAAGACCCGTCAGCCAGGAGGATGTTTAGGCCCTGCTCTTTCGACAGTAACGGAATCTGCTGTTGGGCTGCAAAGCTAAGGTCTATAAAGCAGCTACAGGCCCCTGAGTCAATAATGGCTGTCACTTGTACGGTTCTTCCGGGGAGCTGAAATGAGATTGGTACGGCTAAATGAGTTGGATTATCTAGGCCAGCAGGAGACATGGCAGAAACAAAAGAAGAGTACTTACAAGACTTCTCTGGACAGGAGCGCACCATATGACCCGCTGCTCCGCAGTAGAGGCTCAGATTATCCGGCGTCTCTGGCGTTCCTCTGCTTTGAGAGAAGGCCGCATCAGTCCGAGCTGCATGGGTTCAGTCCTGTGGGACGGCTCTGGATTCCTATTGTGGGAATTGGCAGGACCGGTACCCGTGGCAGCATCCATGTTGGTCTAGGCCCTGGATTAGACCTTTCTTGCCTCCGTTCCCACAACCTACGGTCAATCTGGATGGCCAGGAGGATCAAATCCTCCAATGAATCAGGTACCCCCACTCTTGCCAACTCATCTTTAAGTGGGTCAGATAACCCCAGGCGGAACTGATGGCGCAGGGCTGCGTCGTTCCATTGAGTGTCTCCGCTCCAACGCCTAAATTCAGAGGTGTAATCCTCTGCTGCCTGGCGACCCTGCTGTAAGGTACGTAGAGCTGCCTCAGCCGAAGCAGCTCGTTGTGGGTCGTCGTATAACTGCGCCATCACTTTAAAGAATTCAGCAACTGAGTCCATGTGTGGATGGCGAGTGTCCATCAGATGGTGTGCCCAACCCTGAAGTTCACCCTGCAGCAGGGATATAATAAACCCTACCTTCACAGATTCTGAAAAGAACGTCCGAGGTTGCAGATCAAAATATAGCTGACAGGAGTTCTGGAAGGCCCTGAACTTCCGTCGATCCCCATTGAAATGCTCAGATCAAGGAGAGACCAGGGCAAGCCCAAAACATGCACCAGAGTTCCAGAGGTGTGACGTTCCCGGAAACATGACATGTAATCTAGAGGGGGTGTAATACCATGGGTTAAGACCTTAACCCCTCTGGCGGTATTCCCGAGTGTAGCTCGGGGTTAATTATCAGTGACAAAAGCAGTAATCCCTAGCTACACTCGGGATTACCCTATAGCGTTGCTTACCTTGTCCTTCGCTCCCATGATGTCCCCCCTGCAGCGTCCCCGACCATCTCCTTCGGCCGATGCCAGCATCTGTCTTCCTGCAAGCGTCAAGACGTACAGGACATACAGGGGCTGGAACCGGCGGGAAATTTAAAAATTTTAAAAAGTGACATTCTTAACCATACTGCGGGTTTCCCCCTTCTCCCCCTACTGTGCAGCCGTATGCCCCTTCCCATCCTTCCCCCCCCCCATTTTGTTAGGCCTTAACTGCCATTTGATAGTCCTCTTTATTAGTGATGCCTGACTTTGTATTATTGGGTTTCTTACTGTGCAATTAATGTATACCTTCAATGACCCATACTTTTGCTTATTATTTTATACTGTTCCATGTTAAAAAATAAAATTGTTTGAACACGGAAAAAGTGACATTCACTCAATACACTAAAACCACAGAGTAAAACATTACTGTATCAAACCATTTCACATACATTTTGTCCCGAGTGCTTTGTCCTGCGCCCTGCCTGCATTTTTACTGTTCTTTCTGCCTTGAAACTGAGAACCATCCATGGCATCCAAAAAGCATCCCTTTAGATCAAAAGTGGTTTTAGACTGGCTAGAGAACAGCGATAGTAAATTAGTACCACTTGCAGAATTGAGTGATAATGATTCGTGGGGGAAATTTGTCATCAGACACTGAAAATGATTTTGCGACTAAGCTCAGTGATGTGCGAACTTGGCGCTCTATTTCAAATGTCAGTGTTGTTGGTTTGATTGCATTATTGAATTAAATTTATTATTATTATTAAATTATTATTTTTTATGATGATTTATTATATTATAATTTATGATTTTGTGTTTCAAGTTTTATCATACCCAGGATGTTCACTAGACTCTTGTTCGGGCAGATTTCAGTGAGTTATTCCTAAAAATTACAGGCCTACAATAAAAATAAATAAATAAAAAAAATTTACCACTTTGAGCACAGAAATATTGACATAATCAGACCGCTAGGTTGGTTAAAGGCCATCTCACAGACCGAAAGGGATCGAGAACCCCTACGTATATTATCCAACATGGAGTCCCAGTCCTCATCTGAAAATGTAATGTTACAATCAATTTCTTATTTCAATCTATATAAAAGGGGTGAGGGATAAGAGGCACACAAAAAAGAGCAGTATAAATCTGAGATAAGGCTTCTACCCCTGGGCGAGTCATGTCAGATACATTCAAAATAAGTAATCGGGGACAGTGGCGTCAATGCAAAATGGGAACTAAAAAAGTGGCGTATTTGCATATAACGATAATGCTCATGGAGCGGGATATCAAAAAGTGTGCACAACAGGTCAAAAGATATAAACAACCCGCCTCTCTGAAAGTCTGTTAGTCTGATAAGGGCACGATCATGCCATCAACGATATGCCATTGGGCTTGAAAAAACCATGGCAAGATTCGGATCTGCAAAAAACGTCGACCCCAGGGTGGCCGAGGAAATAAGACCCAATTTAGATTTATAATGGGTCCAAAGTGTTAAAGAATGAAACACAAATTAATTGTAGCCCAGCAATGAATGAGGAGGGATATTTGTCCATAATAAACCCGGTAAATAATATGGGCGCATGACTGAGGCTCAAATCTGACCCAGGGAATCGGGGAATTGATACTCACCCATTGTGCAAGTTGAGGAAAATGAGCAGATAAGTAGTATAGCCAGAAATTAGGAAGGCCTAAGCCCCCTATTCTTTGTGATTTATATAGGACAAGTGAGGAAAAACGGGGACGGCAATTCCGCCAGATGAAATTGTTGACCACACGTTGAAAGTGATCGACGAATGATTTAGAAACCGATATTGGGAGCACTCTAAATAAATAGAGGAGTTTAGGTAAAATGTTCATTTTTACTTCTGTGACTCTACCCAGAAATTAAATAGGGTATCCATGCCAAATTTTGAGCAAAGTGTAAAGACGGGACACACATGGTTGGTAATTGGCTGCAAATAGCCCAGAATCCTTGGGTGCAAGATAAACACCCAAGTATTGAATCCGGTCCATGGCCCAGCGAAATGGGAAAGATCCACAAAGGGACTCTCCCAGAGGTTCAGCAACATTGATAGGCATAACTACCGATTTATAAAAAAATTTATGGAGAGACCTGATATGGATGTAAAATCATTCAACACCGAACATAAATTAGGCAAAGATACTAATGGGTTCGTAAGAGAGCATGACATCATCAGCATACATACATAATTTAAATTGGGAGACCAAGAGCGGGTACCCTGAAATATCAAGGTGTGACGTTATGGCAATGGCTAAGGGTTCTAAAATCAGTAGGGGGGAGAACTGGCAACCCTGTCGGGTGCCTCTGCCCAGGGTAAAAAAGTCAGAATTGCAGCCAGGTAGTCTAATCCTTGTTTGGGGTGAGTTGTATAAGACCCATACACCAGAGAGAAATGCATCACTAAGCTGTAATAGCAAAAACAAATAAGACCAAAGAACACTATAAAAAGCCTTATTAATGTCTAGACTCATCAACAAAACCTCTTTAGAGCGTAAATTAGCATCTTGGATAATGTTTAAAGTTATCTGTAGGGGATAAATCCTGATTGGTCAGATGAAACTAAGGAGGAGATAATTGGGGCCAATCTGCCAAGATACGGCTAAAGATCTTTAAATCATTATTCATGACAGAAATGGGCCTATAGTTTTGTGGCAAAAGGTGATCTTTTAAGGATTTGGGCAGCAGTGACATATTGGCCAAAAGCAACTCGTCAGGAAACCTACCCCCCTGCAAAACCTCATTAAACATAGACACCAAAGATGGGGCTAAGAGAAGGGCAAAATGTTTAAAATAAGTGGCCTAGAACCCATCAGGGCCCGGGGCCGTGGAATTTTTCAATGTGCTAATTACTTGAGTAATTTCCTCCAATGTACAAGGGACATTGAGAGTTGAGATCTGAGAGGATGTAAGAGCGGGGAGAGGTATAGAATCAAGCCAGGAGGCAACAGGGGAAGGGGACTCCACCCAGGGAGAAGCCAACAGGAAGGAATAACACTCTTCAAAAATAGTCAAAACTTCATGGGGCAAAGAGGAGACATTACCCTGCTTATTACATAATTTCTATATATGTGGGGGATGGATTGAATGGTTAAGTTTACGAGCGAACATGTTTGATGCCAAATTGCTATGTAATAAAAAGGATACCTTAGACCAACGTAAGGCTATATTTGTTTTTTGAGATAATAGGGTATTCAGTTCCAAGCGCTTTTGTGCTATCATGCCCTTATTCATTAGGGACGGGTTACCTATATGAGCTCCCTAATGCGTTTCCAATTCCCTGGTGAGTGTCTGAATCAGTTTCCAGCGGTCCCTATTCCTGGTGGCCACCATAGAGATAAGGAGGCCATGCAGAACCGCCTTGTGAGCTACCCACAGTGTAACTGGGGAGGTGTCAGGGGTATTGTTCAGCTGAAAATACTCTTGGATCGATGTAGCCACTTCTTGTCGGGAAGTGGGATCTGTGAGCATAGAGTCATTCAACCGCCAGGAATAAGGAGTACATGCTAGGCCTATAAAGGTGATAGACAACGCCTCAATATTATGATCCAACCAAGAACACAAGACACAAGTGTATACCAGCTTTCGTGGAGTTGGCCAGAGGGATCAGAGAGCAATATATGTAATCCAACCTATCGTAGGAGTCATGCGGATGGGAATAAAAGGGATAATCCCTGGACCCCACATTGTGAGGCCTCCAGGAATCTATCAATTGGAGCGAATCCAGACGTTTCGTAAAGAATTTTGGGAAGGCTGGGGAAAAGTCCGAAGAGGAGCTTCTATCAAACAAAGGGTTGGACACCAAATTAAAGTCCCCTCCCACCAATAAATGGGGGGATAGAAACTTATCCAGAGTGTCAAAAAATGTTGAGAAAAAGGTTGCTTGAGCTGAATTCGACTCATAGACATTAGCTATCATAATTTCTTAACCTAAAAGGGAGCCCTTGATGATAAAAAAACCTACTCTCTGGGTCATGATAGACCTGAGGCACTTCTAAGGGAAATTAATTATGGAGAAATATCGCCACCCCCCCCCCCTACATTTGGAAGCGTGTAACGTGTAAAATGCCTGTTTATACGATTTGTGAAAGAATGTAGGGTGTTTATCTGCTGCAAAATGGGTTTCTTGTAATAAACGGATCTTCACCCATAGCTGTCTATACTGAAGGAAAGCTGTTTTGCGTTTATGTGGAGAATTAAAACCCTGGATATTATGAGGAAGGCAATGTATCCCCATTTTTGAACAAATACAGTAGCAAAGAGCACATAATGACATTATTGCACCAAAAAGATCTATATCAAGAGAGATTGGTCTGAAAGGAGGATTACCCGGCTCTACAACCAGAAGGAAGGAATCTGATCTTATCATTTTATGCAACATCCAAGGTACGTTAGTATAGCAAGGAGACCCATAAAAACGTGTATGACAACAATCATGTACCAAGAGAACAAAGACAAAAACATAAAATAATAAAAGCGGGGTCAGAACTGCCCCTATGACAATAGAGATAAAAACAAACCATGGATCAGGTGACAGAGAACCATAATTTCCAAGGGCCAACAGGGTCCAAAACCCACCACCAAGAAATGCAGAGAGCAGAACGGCCACTCCACAACTGGACAGTGGCAGCTCCATCCACGCGTGGCAACAGGGTGGGATAGCACATCGTCAGCTCCCACAAACCCAGCCTGCAAGCAAAAAATAAGGGCATAGATACCCATATACCACATACAGCACGTCAAGGGATGTAGGGAGTTAGCCCAAACATAGCGGACATTAGTAATGATAAAACGTCATAGACATGTCCCAATAGGAAATTAGATGACAGGTAGGACAGTCAAAGGAAAAGATCACTATCATCTTGCCTCGTGTCTGACTCTTCTCCTTTCACGCCTTGGAGATGGGGTGTTCCAAATGGCAGATACCCGAAAAGTTGAGGGTGGGTGTTGAGGCATGGGAGCATCCACAAAGCCCAATTTCACCAGGATTTCTTGACCTTCAGGAGGTGTAGTAGCTGTATATGTGTTTTCATTGTGAGGAATGATCAGCTTAAAGGGGAATCCCCATTTATAGCGAATTCGAGCCGAGGACAAGACAGCCGTAACTTCCCTCATTTTGTGCCGCTTCTCCAGCATGACCTGAAAGACATCTGGAAAAATTTGCAGGGTCAAACCCTCCAAAGAAATAGTCGGGGTGTTACGAGCAGCTCTAAGAAGAATGTCATCTTTAACCAAGGAATCTTTCATGAACAATATTATATCCCGAGGAGGTTTATCCATAGGAGGCTTCGGAAGCAATGCTCTATGTATCCAGTCACAAGCAAAGGCCTTAGCGTCCTGGTCAGGGAGAAGAGACTTGAATCATTTTAATGCAGCCTGTGTAAGATCAGTGACTGACTCAGGGATCCGGCGGATGCACAGGTTAATTCTGCGAATATGGTTATCAAGATCTTCCACCTGCAACTGCAATTGAGTAAAAAGGTTGTGGTCCCTAGAAAGTTTGCCATAGGCCAAACTGAGTTTATCATGTTTAGTTTCCAGGCGATACGTTCGGGCCCCAAGTGCAGCTATCTCCTGAGAAAGGACATTTGTGCTTTTATGAAGCTCTGGTTGAAATATAGTGGCTAATTTTGTATACATGG